GCACTCGGGGATCCTGCAGGGCACTTCGGGGCGGTTCGCTCGCGGCTGTGCTGTTCCCAAGCACGTTACAAAGAAGTGAAATAAAAAGAAGGGCACGGAAGCTCCAGCCCGGGAGGCGCTGGATTGCTACGAGGCTTAAGCGCAAAGCGGGCGCTGTGCCCCGGCGGGACGCCCAGCCCCGGCGGCACCGGGACCCTCCGGGCTGCCCTTCCCCACGCTCCAGCAGGGACCGGAGGCATCCGTGGGGAGCCGAGCATCTCCCCAGCCCCACCGGGCTGCGGGGGGAGGCGGCGGAGGGGTGCCGCTCGCCATCCCCATCCCCTTCCCGACGCCTGCAAAGGCAGAGACGGGGGAACCGGGGGGGACCGGGGCGGTGCGAGGGGCCGGGGCGGGCCGGCCCCCCCCGTCGGGCGGTGGATGGGGGGCGGGAGGGAGGGCGCTGGGAGGCGGCGGCTCCTCCTCCGCGGGCAGGCGGGCAGCCCGCCCGGAGCCGCACCGGTTGCTCGGTGCCGGCGGAGCGGCGCCGCGCCGCGGGCTATATAAAGGGCGGCGGCCGCTCGGCGCTCCCTCACACCGGCCGGGCCGGTGCCCCGACAGCATGGCCCGCGGCGGGGCGCCATGGGAGGTGGTCTCCCCCCGTGCCTCCCGCGGACCCTCCTCTTCCTCCTCCTCCTCCTCCTCCTCCTCCCGCTCCTCCCGCACCCGCGGCTGCCGCTGCTGCCCGCTGGCCGCCGCGGGCTGCGCGTAAAGGCCGGGCCCGGGGGGGCGGCTCCGCTCCCCTCGCAGCCGTCGCGCCCGGAGCCCGGGGGGGGCCGCAGCCGCCGCCCGCGGGCATGCGGCGGCCCCGCTGCCTCTGCGGCCGTCGAGACGCGGAGCGGGGCGGCGGGCGGCGGGGCTGCGCCTAGGGGCGGCCGGAGCCCCATGCCCGGGGCTCGGCGGGGAGGCGGCGGGGCGATGAGGCGGCGGGGACAGCGGGCTCAGCCGGCCCCCGCTGCCCCCCGCTCCCCGGCCCGCGGGGAGTGAGGCAGCTCCGCGCTCCCGGAAGGGCGGGCGGGGAGGTGGTGCCGGAGCGGGGATGCTGCAGCCCTCCCCCGGCGCCCACGGGGTCCTGCCGGGGTAGAGCCCCGCCGAGCCGTGCCGTGCCGTGCCGAGCCCAGCCGTGCCGCGCCGAGCTCCGCCGTCTGCGGGGGCGGCGGCCGCGGAGGGATGGAGCCGGCGAGCCCCTGCCGGGCGCCGCTGCTCCCCGCCAACGACTCTTACCACGGGCGAAACTGCAGCGCCGAGGAAGGGATCTACCAAGATGCCACCCCCCTCTCCGGGAAGATCGTGCTCGCCGTCGTCCTGGCGCTCGTCACCCTGGCCACGGTGCTCTCCAACGCCTTTGTCATCGCCACGGTCTACCAGACGAGGAAACTCCACACGCCGGCCAACTATCTCATCGCCTCGCTGGCCGTCACCGACCTCCTCGTCTCCATCCTCGTCATGCCCATCAGCACCGTGTACACTGTGACCGGCAAGTGGACGCTGGGCCAGATCGTCTGCGATATCTGGCTGTCCTCGGACATCACCTGTTGCACGGCGTCCATCCTGCACCTCTGTGTCATCGCCCTGGACCGCTACTGGGCGATCACCGACGCCGTCGAGTACTCCACGAAAAGGACTCCCAAGCGGGCAGCGGGCATGATCGCCCTGGTGTGGGTCTTCTCCATCTGCATCTCCATGCCCCCCTTGTTTTGGCGGCAGGCGAAGGCCGAGGAAGTCTCTCACTGTGTGGTGAACACGGACCACGTCCTCTACACCGTGTACTCCACGGTGGGAGCCTTCTACTTCCCCACTTTGCTGCTGATAGCCCTCTACGGGAGAATCTACGTGGAAGCCAGATCGAGGATTTTGAAGCAGACGCCAAAGAAAGCGGGTAAAAGACTAACTCGGGCTCAGCTGATCACGGACTCCCCGGGGTCGTCCTCCTCCGTCACGTCCATAAACTCCAAGGCCCCCGAGGGATCCAGCGAAACGGGCTCGCCCGTGTACATGAACCAGGTGAAGGTGAAGGTTTCGGACGCCCTGCTGGAGAAGAAGAAGCTCACGGCCGCTAGAGAGCGGAAAGCTACAAAGACTTTAGGGATTATTTTAGGAGCCTTCATCGTCTGTTGGCTGCCCTTTTTCATCATCAGCCTGGTGTTGCCTATTTGCAAGGACGCTTGCTGGTTCCACATGGCCATCTTTGACTTTTTCACGTGGCTCGGATATCTCAACTCCCTCATCAACCCCATCATCTATACGATGTCGAACGAAGACTTCAAACAAGCTTTCCACAAACTCATACGTTTCCGATGCACAAGCTGAAAATGTTGAATGCGATGTGTTCGCCGGGGCTGCCCCCATGCACGCCCGTGCCCGACGCCACAGGTGGGTGTCCCCCGGCCCCCCCAGCGGCGGTGCTCGGGGTGGGAAGGGGCGAAAGGGGCGGGGGTCGGGAACGGCGGCGGGGAGAGGCGCGGTCCCGGCTGGGCAGGGGTGCTCTGTGCCCGCCCGGAGGGTTGGGGGCGAGCCCCGAGGCAAGAGAGTGCGTGTGTGTGTGTGTGAGAGTGTGCATGTGAGGGTGTGTATGGGTGCGTGAGTGTGTGTGCATGCGTGTGCGCGTGCATGTATGTGCGCGTGTGCTTGTGCGTGTGCACGTGTGTTCCTGCGTGTGCCCGTGCATGCGAGTGTGCGCGCGTGTGTTCGTGCGTGTGCTTGTGCGTGTCGCACGGCTGCCGGGGGTGACTCTCGGCAATCGGCTCCCCCCCCCCCCCACTCATTAAACCCCCGTGCCGCCATTTCGTATGCTAATGCCCGGTTTAGGCTAATTAGCGCATGCCGAAGGGCGCACTCGTGCCCGGCTGCCGCTGCCCCCCGCCGCCGCCTCCCGACCCCCCCCGGGAGCAGCAGCCGGGGGCCGGGGGCAGCCCCGCTGCCGGCGTCGGTTTCCTTATTTATTTATTTATTATTAGGAAAGGGAGGAAGGTAGGGCAGGCCCTAGATTAAGGCTGCTTGTAAAGTTCAGCCTACTTTCTGGCCTCCTTACGGCTCCGACTTGGGCTGGGAATGAAGTCGGAGTCCCGGCCTGAGCCGGGAACAGGGATCCTTAGAAGAAAGCTGTCCTCCAGCCACCGGGAAAGGCTCCACACCTTCATGTTCCTCGTCACTCGCTGAAAAACCGTGCCTTTCTGCGCCTCTGACAAAAGTGGCTGCCAGCTAATAGCTCTACCCGGTGCCACGGTCTGCAGAAGACACGCTCGCCTTTATTGTGATACTTTAATAATTCTGCCAATCTTTTGCTTTTTGTCTGCAGAATCAAGTTGCTATTGTAAAGACCCACTGCTTGAAACTTCCCCAAGCCAGTTGCCAGACTCATGATGCTGCAAAAACGTCAATACATACTGCCACCAAACTGCTCAGCTCTGCATTTCAGTGTAATGACTCTGGCAGAGATGCTGTTCCAATAGTCACGCAGATCTGTTGCAAAAAAAAAATAAATAAAAAAAATAAAAAAAAAGAGGGCAGCCTCGAATCAAGGTCTATAATTCATCTGGACTGAAGAAAAAGTTTGAGAGTAAACTCAATTTATTTTGCAGGCTTAACTTCTTAATTTGTTCTCCAGCCGGTTGTAGGGGTGTGCACCAGAGCACAGTTGTCTCTGTCTGTGTCGGTAGCGTAGTTGTACTTCTGCACACCTGTAATTTCTTTCTTTCAGTGGAAAGAGTTGCTCACTCATCATGAGCCACAGAAGAAGGAAAGACGGAGGCTTAAAAAAATTAGGAGCATCACAGTAAACTCTGTAAATGACTCCTTCAGCTGAACGTGTGAGAAGTGGCAGTGTGCAAAAGTTATATTTGTATTTCCAAACAATAGCAAATGCAAGTACTGTAGAAACGAGTTGTAGACCTGTTCAACTGCACTGCATATCTATAGCCTGTCCTCATCGTTGCCTTCATAATGTAAATACTTCTTGCTTCTACTCCATAACTCGAGAGCAGAAAACAAGAAGTCCAATGACCTTTTCCATAAACCAGCTGGGAATAGAAGTAGCAATTTGCTGTTGTAACCATGTTTTCCATTTTGTGTCAGTTGCACACCCTTACCGCATGAACCACTGCAAAATTTAGAACTCTCTAAGTAATTACATTATTGTCTATTTTGTAAGAAGTGAAGCAGTTTGCTCTTTCAGAAGAGCTGTATCACCTGCAAAATAAATGCCCATGAATCATGAATAAAATAATGTTATTGAAATTGGTCTCCTCCCTATTTCCCCCAACTTTTTTTTTTTTTTTTTTTTTTTTTTTGATCTGATGAGACCTTAAGAAAGGTCTATGTACATTCAGCAGTCAAAGTTAGAGTTTCAGGATATGGTCCACCTGCTGTGATAGAACTGCATTGATTGTTCCTCCTATGTGTAAATGAAAATGAGTATAAACAATAAAACGCTTTACTGTGTTCTCAAGAGTGTTTGGTAGCAAGTGTGTGACTGGAAGGAGTATTTATTGGTTTACCTGGTTTCTCAATATTGACTTTTTAGGTAAATGATTTGATGAGTCACTCAAGAAAGCAACTGATGAAGGCTGAAATTGCAAGCTTCGATCAGTGGTCAGATTTTTAATAGGCAACTTTCCTAACCAGTGCTGTTAGAGAAAACATTATTTTTATATAATCCAAGATTAAATTTTTTTTTTTTTTCTTGACAAATATTTTTCTTAATCCATTAAATGAAGCAAAACTTTTTTTGTACTTGGTGGATACTGTACTTGATGTTCTCTTAAAACTGTATATATCAGAAATAGAAATTCCAGTTGGGGGCTGTTGTAAAGATTGCAAAAACTTTACATGATTTATCTACCTATTGTTTTTCAGAGAGTTATTCAAGTAATAAGGATTTATTTACCCAATTGAAAAGTGAAAAAGAACCTGAGCCTCTGTGCCTCTGCAACTCCCATTAACTGTAAAGAGGAAGAAGTGTTCATGGGCAGGAAAGACACCTGCAAGACATAAATTCAAGTAGTGGAAAATAAACGTTTCTAGTAACTTTAATAAATACAGGAGACTTGCCTCAAAACTGCATACTTCTACCATAGAGAAGTACTATGATAGACTTCTAGAAAGTACCCTCATATTATTAAAGATAAATCTAATTAGAGAAATCTTCTAAAACAGCAGCTTAATTTATTGAGGTGCTTAAGTTGCTTTTAAATTTATTTATTGATTTGCATACATGGGGTGAAGAGAGCAAGAAGGAGAGCATTCAACAATTCTCAACCTATTTCATAATTAGTCATTTTCCAAGGCTGTAATAACTGAATGACTTTTGCTTACCCCAAATTCTCAGTGAGACTTCTTGTGTGTCTAAGAATTGGTGAATCAGACCCAAAAACTAGTATTTTCAGCATTTCTGCAGGCAGTTAAGTCTTTTAAGAGTTTTACAAAGTTACATGACTTGCAAAGCACGGAGTTCAGGGGTTGGACTTTCCCGGTCCTCCTGCTGCTGAAGCATACATTTATCTTCAGCAACAGACAGCAAAAACTCCTGGCTCCCTTTCGTGATGTGAGGATTTTGCTGAGAAGCAGTGAAGCTAATTTATCAAGAAATTTTCCTTCCCAATTTATGCTGAGGCTCTGAGCTTTCTGCACAAACATTTCAGATAACCTGATGCTTGCTGCTGGGAAGACATCGGTGTGAAAGCTGCTGAGCGACCTGGGGCCAGAGATGGGAAGTGAACTGGAGCCCTGCTGAAATACTCTGGCTAAAGGCCTCGTGCTGGCTGAGCAGTCTCATCTAGTTCAGAAAACCATTCCTGCAGAGAGATAGGTGGAGTGAGGATGTGCATCAGTTCACAGTGAGAGGGAAGAAATGTAGGGCAAACATCGCATGGTGCAGGCAAATATAAATATGTGAAAAACATCCCGAGATGAAAGGATTCATTAACACGTTTTAGGACAGGAAGGGTGGACCATATGAGCTATTCCCTAATCTATGATTAGCAGAGTGTGTCCTGGCTAGGTTTTAAAACATGCCAGGGTTCAGGGAGCAGTGGTGAAGCTTTGGCTCTCTCTGGAGATCCTAGGGAGCACTTGGGATTTGAGGATGTTGTCCTCTTGCCTCTCCACTCTTTGCTGTGCCTGGCCACTGGGCTAAGCCTTGGGAAAGATGGAGTGGCTGAAATCCTCAGTGGGAGAGGCTGTCCTTTTAATCCTTTTATCCTTCTATCTCAGCAGGGTTCAGAGGAGTCTGCCTCTGTGTTATTTTGGCATGAGGACCTCTTCATGATCCTACAGGTGAACTTCAAAGGTGCTTAAGCCTGTGTTGTTTTGGCCTTTCATTCCAGAAGCATCGTGCCTCACTCTTATTTGTGTATTTATTTGTGGTGTTAGATTCAAACATTGCCAAATGATGTTGCAGTGAAAAAAAGTCTGCCAGGCACTGAGGTTTTAAGCCGATCACACATTTGCAAGCCTTGTGCTTCCCACATTTAATGGTAAAAGGGTATGTGTGTTATAGCGTTGCTGACTGCAAGCACTGTGAGCCGTATGACTGCTCAAGAGTAGCTGCAGTCGAGGGATCAGCTGCCTGCAGCCCCCTAGCTGTGCTGTTTTCCTAGTATTTCACAATTTTCTTAAGAATCATTTCTTTTTCTTCCTATTAATCAAACACAGCCACAGAATATAGAAATTGAGAGAGGAAATCCCTCATAATGAACCTTCATATTCCTCTGGAGCAGCCAAACCGTTCTACCATTTCAGCATGTGTAAGAAAAGGCCTACTGTGCCAAGGCTCCGTGGGACAGAAGGACCTGCTACTTATTCTTTGGAAATCTATGCCATATCCACTGCCCAGCACCTGATAAAGCAGGGCTGGTCTTCAGCCTCCAGCGGGGATGCATGGAGTGGAGATGAGATGTAATGCTCCATTTGGAGCAGCAGCTTGCTGCTCTCCTCTCCTCAGGCCTGCAAAAGGCCAACCTGCCTTCCATGAGCAGAGCCCTGTGGGTCACACTTGGTCAGAAAGGGGTGGATATTGTCAGAAGCACATTCACATCTGTCTAAAGGAGTTCTTACAGGGTTGTAATACCTGAAAGAGGTTATCATATTGGAGAACAAGCACTGTGGTTTGCAGTCACAAATAGGGCTGAGCAGCATGGCAAAGGGCAATCCAGTATTCAAATCATGAAATCCCATTCAAATTAAAAGTGTACCGGATGATGAAGAGCGGGTTTCTCCAGCAACAACACAGCCTGTAGCAAAGAGAGGGCACAAAGAAGTCATTGCAAATTTACAAGCCTTGATCTGTGTGTATGGAGAAAAAAGGGTTTATTACTGTAACGTCTCAGGACTCCAGCAGACAGGTGAGCAAAGACTTCCAGAGAGAAGAACAGTACCCAAGGATATGTAGAAAAATTATACGTGTTCATTTATTTAATTAAGTAGTCTCTGACTTCTTTTTGTGTGTTAGGATTTTTTTTATTTTTTTTTTTATGATTAACAGCCTGGATGTATGAGGACAGAAAGGTTCATATTACTTTGACAGATTTTTTTTTTTTTTCGTATTCCAACAATTAGTATCTAAAACAAAATACATCCATAGTTTAAGTGAACTATCCAATAGCAGTGGGTTTGGTTGATAAAAATAATCATGAAACATTTAAGCTGAAAATGGTAATATAGAAAAGCAGGCTGAAAATGAAGCTTTTTAATCAATCACGTATTAAGCTTGAAAGATGTAATATAACAGGCAACTCAATAGGTGAGGTGAAGAGGAGATCTACAGGATATCAAATTTACAATACAGAGATCAAAATCTCTTACTGAGTCATTTTCGGGAGCTGGAGAAAGACATTCTTTGCTGTTCTTCTCAGAGATCAAACTCCTTGCAGTCATCCTTATAAAGGAACAAGACTTTCTTATTGTCTTTATACAAATAATGCTTTGAAGGCTACAATACAGACAGAGGTCATGGCTACAAGGCTTTCACCAAGTAATCATACATTCTGTCTTTTAGGTTGAACGGTTGTAGAAAAATAGGAAAGACAGGAACAGGGGATTATTATGTAAAATAATCCCTTTCTGCATTTCTTTCACTATACAGAACTAAGGCAAAAGCTAGAATAAAAGGGAAAAAAACAATATCTGGTCAATTTAGGCATTTATGAGGTTGCATTAGATTTCAGGAACGTGTTTAGGGTTGAATGGGGCAAAAATAATAAACACATTTCCAGAATTCAGTAAAATGGAAATTAAATTAGACTTCTCCTTCCATTCAGATACCTCAGGGGTCCCTCTTTCCTAATATTAGTTTCATAATATTATTTCTAAAATCTTGCTATTCCCAGATATGATCAAATTAACATTTATAGTACGTTCATACCTGTTTTTATATTAAGCCATACACTTTGCAAGCTCACTCACTTTTTCCTATAGAATTCAAATTTCAATTTTGTTGTGCTATTTTCTACTTGTGTGTTGGGCTTAGAACATCTTTAGGATCTTGTTTGGATCCAGCCCTCTAAAATCCAGTCCCTGAAATTATGAGAAACACTTTCTCATATTTAGAGAATTTGGAACATTTAAGAGAAATAGAGAAAAAGCAAGCAAGGCTCCTGTCTCTTATTTACAGAAGGAGGTTGTCCTTCCTTGAACCCTGTTCATAGAAAAAAAAATTGTTTTAGAATTGAAGGACACAGATATGATATAAACAAGACTATACAATAGGTCAGACCTCACACAAACAGCTATTTTGGAGGTAGAAGAGGGAAAGTATCTGTTCTAATCTCATACTGGGATAGGTCTCTATGACCCATGAGAGACAGACCAAAAGGTCTGCATTTGTTTGGATACAAAAAGATCCAAAAAGATTCAGCAGGGAGCAAAGATCAGGGAGAGCTTCAGGAGTGATGAGATATATAGGTGAGAGATTTATAGGTGAGAGATGCTGAAAGAAACCTGTTGTGGCAGGGCTCGGGTGGGTGAGCAGGTAACTCCATCAGCAACCACAGCCCCATTCTAGCTGCTAATATAGACCACCGTATGCACACCCAGCCACCCACCCAATGCTGTAACTGGCCTGAATAACAAGTCCATCCAGCAGCTGGTTCTGGATCCCAGCTCTTCTCTGATATCCCACTCCAAGACCCATCCAGGCACAGAGGGCTTGCTGGCAGCTGGATGGGACTCCTCTGGTCCCACTGGTAACCACTGCTTCCTGTGGTCTCACCCTTCAAGACCCATGTGCCTGGCTCCCAGAGCACTTCACCTACTTTACAGCTACCCTGGCTTCATCTTTGTGGGAGATCACACACAGTCATTCTGGTCTCTCCAGTTGCTGCACCCATGGGGTACAATAGTGCTGCTGCAGTTGTTTGGACCTCTAGCCACACAGATGCTTGCATTTCCTTACCCAGAAAAGGAGTTATAAATGGAATTTAACAAGAAGACATGACAGATTGCACTGATCAGGCACAGGGCATGGCCAGACTGCAATACCAAGCAGCCAACACAGGGCCAGCCTCTTTTACCCCTTTATCACTCATTCCCACACTTGTTCCTCCCCAAACCACTTTGAAACCTCCCTTTCCCCGTTTTCAGTTCTTCTCCTTACAGTTATCCCACCATAAGTGGTGTTCTGTGCAACGGGCCTGGGAAGAACTGGGGCAGGGTATTACTCAGCTTTCTCTACCTGCCGGTTTCTCTTTGTGCTCTCTTCTGAGGGGCAGAGGAGCTTTTTAACAGGTAACCAAACAGACTCTATCAAGAGAAAATGAGAAGGGATATAGCTGGCTACCACTTTGCCTGTCATCAGAAAAGTGTCACTGATACAAGTAATATAGATTGAATTAATCAGGATGTCAGAAATGCTTACTAATAGTAAGGAAATAAAATATTCTGTTGTGAAATCTTCATGCTGAGTGAATGTATAGACACAATAGGCAAAGGATGGTTATTTAGGTGTCTGCTAAATAATCTTCAACAGCTCACCAATGAGTATTCAGATCTATTGAGCTGAATACCAGCTTTGAGACCCTGAAGAATAACCTAACGTGTCCTAACGTGTCAGGCCAGAACTAGATCTTGCATATCAGAAGTTGAGATACATACCAGCCAGAACTCAAGTACCTTTGCATAAGCTTTTCGAACTTTGATGAATTGCACGCTAATGGAAAAGGTGGTTGAAAGAGTCCTCATAAGTTAATCAGTCTCTTTCATTTATATGCTTGTGCTGTGGTTAAAATTCTAACAGGAACTGAATTAGTTCCTTACAAGATTGCCAGTAAGGCACAGGACAGGTACTGATACTCGGGCAATGTATTCACATATTTAAATATACTTATGAGCAGTGTATTTACATACAGGTTGACACAAACCAATCACTTCCTTACTTTCAAATATAAGAGTTGGCCTCTAAAGTCTGCAGTTTGGGGCCTCATAGAAATCTTGGGGAGAGGTATCATCCTCCTTTTGGACAATAGCCAAGTCCCACAGATGTGCATAAGACATACATTATTCAATATTTTAACTACAGGGACTGGAAATTCAACAAGCAAAAGGGATTGATGCGGAGAAGGGCAAAATAATATAAGAAGGAAAAATAAAATCCTGCTTATGAATGCACAATAAAAATCACACACATTCCTTCTTCCTCTCCCCCCCCCGAAAAAAAAGTAGCTGTAGTCAAAAGAACAAACAATATTGCATAGAGAAAAAACAGAAGACAACATTGTTCTACCTTGTAAATCACTATGTCCTGTATCCTGTGCACTATAAGTGTGTGCCTTAGAAAGGATATAGCAGAACTACAAAACATGCAAAGAAAAAAAAAAAAAAAAAAAAAAAAAGAAAAAAGGATCATCAGGGTGTACTTGAAACCTCTTTTGGACACAAGCAATCCTGCACTTTCACTACGAAGACAGATGAGCCAGTGCTTAAGGTTTTCTCCTTGGTATCACGCAAAGACAACAGTAAGTCAAGAGAAGGCAGGCATATTCAGAGGAAAACGATTGTTATACAAAATGACACATTTCTAAATGCTGTCTGGCTTACTCTCATTCTACCATGCCTGAAAATCCTGAGGAAGCATTTCTGACACTTTTCTTGTCTCTAGTTGTACAGAGGAATGCTGATTCCCCAGCCTGCCCTACTTCTGCTTTAGGCAAAGAGGAATTAAGACCCTTGAATATTCTGCCACAGTTTCCCACTGTGACTCCTCTAGTAGATGTTGAATTGCAGCTAAAATGGATTCTGAATGGCATAGTAAAGTCTGTATTCCAAGGAAATATTGCCTTGGGCCGTTCAGAGTGGGCATGCAAAGATTTTTTTTTTCACATTTGTTTGTGGAGCTAGCGGACTGCTTCGAAATTCCAGGGCCCAGTTCCTGATGTTCTACATTATTAAGTGTGTCTCTACTTGTACAGCAGAACTGAATATTTGAAAAAGTAATCATCCTGCAGTTTCCCAGAACTGGGGACTCCAGGGTATTATGAGGAAAGAAGGCTCACACGTGATTCTCTATATTGTTCCTCATCTATATACAATTAGAGGGCATTAGCTTTCATTTATGAAGGAAGGATTTTATCTCTTCTCTCTTTAATTAAATCACAGACCTTCTCACTAGTTCATAAATAGGCACTGCTGTAACTCAGCTCCTACAGAAAACAGCTGGATGTAAACACCCTGTAGGATACTCTTGCCCAACTTTTAAACTGCAGCATTTGTTTCAATTAAATAAGAGTTAGTAGTACTGGGAATTTTACATTTCACTATAGGAACAGTGAATTGATTTCTGTCTGAATGACAGATTTCAGTCACACTTCAGTTAAAGCATACAAAATATTCTGAGAATTTTGTCAGCAGAAATAATTGAGTTCCTTTAATCAGGCTTGGGGTAGGATCCTAAAGGGATTCCACCACACTTTTCCCAAGCAGCGTAGTTACTAGTTCATTATATAGAATGAGGATCTTTACATTCTTTCAACTTCCTTTACATATGGCATTTTTTACTAAGTAATGTATGTGGACTAAATCCTTGAATTGGCTAGACAGAACATTCCAAATTCAGACCCATCATTTCAAAAGATAGTAAGAAGTGTGATACTTTTTCCCATTGTATTTAATGAGGCCATTGTTCCTAAGCAGAGAGCAGCACTGGGGTTTGTATAGTTGTAAGTTAGTTGCATAAGGAAAAAAAATATATATATATTTTTAATGCTTTCAGAATACTCTTTTGCTGTTTTCAAACCCACCTTTTTCAAAATCAAACTACATGTCCTTCCCTTTCCATATGTCTCCTAGATTCTTAAGACAACAGCAAACTACGAAACTGAAAAATATGAGAAATGAATATCAAAAAGCATCATCAATATTGGAAGGAAAACAATATATTGTTTTAAAAATTGCCTAAATGTAGTAGTAGCATTTTATTTATTTATTTATTTATTTTCCTAGGAAACCTGCATTTATTTACATGAACACTTCTAGGTCCCAAGGAAAACTTTCAGGGCTAAAAGTCTCATCTAGCTCAAGACTTCATGTTCTGTGGTGCACCGGATTAGTAAAAGAAGTAGTTTTTCAATCCTGTTGCATAGTACATGTTAGCAACTATTGATTTCCTTTAATATCTGTGACGACTGCAATTTAACATTCATATAATGCATAAAAGACTGCTGGAGATGGTGGAGGCAATACTACTACCTTTGACTGAGGGAGAATATCCTCCATTAGAGACCAAAACTCACTAGCTGGGAATGATTTTAGAGCATTGATGGCCAGTAGACAGTGATATTACAGCTGTAAATCAGTCAGCTTTCTGTCTTCTAGACCTGTGCAGACATTTGTGCATTTTCAGGAGTAAATACAGTCCTACATGTCAACCAACTACAGTATGCTTCCCTACGGGGATCTAGCTGGCACCTACCTCTCGCTGCTCCATGCACCAGGTCCAACAGGCTAGTCAGGCTCTGCACAATGCTGAGGGACACATGAGATGGCTCCTCATCTCTGTCAGGGATCTTGTGATCAAAACAAACAATAGATGGAGAAATACTTGTTAACTGCCAAACCTCTGTGAGCAGTTAAGCAGCTCCCTGCCCTCACTACGTATAAGATGTCTCATAACATTTTTTCCCTCCTCAAAATTCTGAGATTTAATGCAAGAGAAGCTCTCAGTAAAACTTGTAAGACTTACTGATTGGGGACAAGTATTTTTGCTCTACTCCCCATGTTTTACCACTCTTCACCTTCACAAGGAGACCTGAGGCTTTGCTAGCCCCAGTGACAACCAAAGTTTTATTTCTCCCGTCCTGCACCACATCCACATGACCCACCACTGCACCCTTCTCATGTGCTGCTGCTCCATGCCTCAGATGCCCTGGGTAGAATGCTACCCAAGAGGGCCTATCACGGAATCATAGGAGAGGTGCTCAAGCACTCTGATCATCTTTGTGGCCCTCCTCTGGACCTGCTCTAACAGGTCCACATCCTTCTTGATCTGGGGGCCCAACTATCAACTGGATCTGGGAGCAGAAGAAAGGCAGAGCAGGGTTTGATCTGCTAAGTGACCCTGAGTAATTCTGTGCCTCAGTGCCTCCCTAATAAGTAAGACCAATCTTCTTCCTTTGTGGAAATAGGTTTTATCATCACATACTTTTCAGAACATGTTTATGTCAGCTCTATAAAGGGCTGATCTCCAAGGGAGTAGGAATTCATCAGAGTACTCACATGATTTGGCCCTTAATGCTTCAGAAACAAAAATAATGACAGTTGCAGCCTCCCACCCCATCCACAGTTGCAGAAAACATGATATGGGATGACAAACAGGATTGTCAATCCTTTTTGCTTTCAGATGCTGTTGTTGTCTGGCCTGTTGCAGACCAGACCTAAACGTTCAGTAATCACAGTGCTCTTTTCCTGTCACCATTCCTCTTCAGTATACCTCAAAGTGAATTACCTGCCATGAGCTGCATTTTAACATGTTTCAATGCAAAATGATGTTGATAGCTGGTGATTTACCTACATTTTTGACAGAGAAACAGCAGAATGTAGGTGATATCAGAACAAAAACTTGCGCAACAGTCCATAGCTTTACTGTACAAAATGATGTAAAATTCAGGCCTGGTTCATTATTGGGCAGAGCAATCTACTAATTAGACCACTAACTAGTCATCTAGCTTACTACTGCATGGCATTACCACTTACAGGTGTGAGTGCTATGTACTCTCTCAGGACTCCCAGGTTCCATGCATACTCTCCTCTACCTTGGTGTGTGCCACAGTGCTTTCTTAACCAAGTTTTCCAGTCCCATTTCTCTGATATCAGCTCTCAAATCAGCCGTAGAGTACCCCTGAATCCAGATTATGAGGAACATCAGAGCCAGAGGGATAAAATCTGTTGCTGTTAAAGAGCTACCTTTAAACCCTTTAAGTCCAGTTAAGTTAAGCAAACAAAAGTATTTTTATACATATGTCAACATTAGACAGAACAGTGGAAAAAGTCTTCCAAATGTTTGGGAGTGCAGAATTGCAAGGAAATAGCTCTACACGTACCTGTTATTTAGATTAACTTCACATTTCTTCCTTACCATGTCCTTACAGATTGGCCAAGAGACTCACAACCATTCTTGCTGTGTGCTTGGATCTACATTTTGTCAGACTCCAGAAGTGTCGGGTCCCATATTTTCTGGAACTCCAGGCATGGATTTGGACCTTGCAGTCAGATCTAACTCTTCTGAGTCAGGCCATTACTCCAAGCAATTGCTTCATCCGTCACTCAGACAGGAAAGACTTCTCACTCCCTTTTTACTTCCCGACCAAAACTGTTATCTGTTTCCTCCAGCTTGGGAAATGCTGTTCTCTTTTGGGCTTTGAGCTGTTGTAGTTCTCTGGGTTGTTTAGCAAAAAAAGGTAGTTCACTTGTATTTCTGTGCTTGAGTAAACCATTAGCAAATCTTGAGTCCACTAAGAATTCTCCCATTAAATAGTGTAGTCTTCAGAGGGAAGCCTCTTCATCCATTGATCCTTTCTTTTCACAGGTATACGTTAAACAATATACTGTACAAAGCAATGTAAATAGAAGAAAATCAACACAACCAAAAGCAGTTGGATCTACATTATGTAAATTGTTACCTAGTTTTAATTGGTTTGTGTATGCTTTATGATGGTTGTTAAACAAGCAGGCTGAATGTGCTAATTAAGAAAAACAGTAGCAATCTGCCTCATGGAAACATAGGGAGGAGAGGGGGGAGAAAATATCTTGTTCCTCAGTATTGTGTGGTATCACTCACATGAAAAGAGGAAGAAAGCATCCTTACAAAGATGAGATGTTCTGCATTGAGATGACTCAGAAAGAGGTCCTAAGCTTTTGTATTGTGCTTTTCCATGTCCAAAGGGGGGTGAGTGCGGAGGATGAGTGTGAGAAAGGAAGGCCTGTGGCAAATGAAGAAATCATCACAACAAAATGAACTCATTTTAACTCAACAGTAGAAGATAAGATTCCAACTAAATCTAAGAGAGAATGGGGTAGAACATAGCTGTTGTTTGAATGCATTCAGGGAGAACATGCACAGTTAAATGCAATCTTAATTATGCCATTGTCATTTTATCTTTCATAACTTTATCCCATGACTGAAAACTTCTGTTTTTAAAATAAGTTTCTTTTAATCTGTAATCTTACCTAGTAATAAATCTGGTCAGTCATCTGAAATTTGGCAAGATATCCCTTACCCTAATTTGTTACAAATCTTAAAAATGTAACATTGGACACCTTGAAAAAGTGCCAAGTTATCCAGTATATTACATTTCTGTTATCTGAAAAGAAGTAGGATAAATCCACATAGATATTGTACGACAAAGTATCAGGAGAGCAAGGAGAGGAAGAAATGTTTGCTTGTGACCACTGATGACTGTCAAATTCTGTGACCTGTGGTCAAAAAGTTGAGAGTATGACTTGTAGAGCCATTATTGACTTTTAACTGAGACCAGACTTGATAGTAATCTGTAATTCTGCAGTAATGGTGTATTTGGAGTTAACTGTGGACCGACTTTTTGAGGAACACCGTAAGATTTGAATTGTCACCCTTGATGTCTATATTTCTTCCTTCTCTCCAAATTATTTATGACTGCAAAATCTTTTCACCTGTCCATTCCTATTCTGCACATTCTCATAGAGATTGAGGGGACCAGAATTTGGGACCAAATCTCAACTGGAGATTTTAAGGGCTGCAATAACATAGGGTGAAAAGTCCGTCCGTTGAAGCATTGTTGACCTGGTGTACCAGTTTTGCAGCCAATGATGGCAAGAAAGAGCTATACCAGAATCAAATCTAGATCCTCCTGACTCCACACCCTGCATGGTCACATACCTGTTGTCAGCTGGCTGTACAGTGTGGATGCTTGGGAAGAGCCAAAGTCATGAATCTAGAGCCATGTAAAAGCTGAAAGAACTTTCCCTTCTCCTTGATAGAACAGTAGTTAGAGTAACCATCTGAGGGGAATATGAAGGTTGAAAGAAATATAAAAGAAAACATTATTTTTTCTTGTGGGATAGAAAAAAATAAATGACAGTTTTTCTTCTTAAAGACACATTCAGTATGTTATCTGAAAATAATTTCTTGAACAATATTGCAGTCAGACTAGAGATATTCCAAAACCAAAAGAGGAAATAAAGGCATGATCAAGAGATTTGTCACTGTCAGGAAGTCCTGATTCTAGCAGAAAGGCTACCCTTCTTGAACAGTGTTCTAGGGTGCAGATTTGAATTCAAACCCAAATTTTAAATATATAAATCCATCGTAGTCCTGTTGAGATCAATGGAGAAACTCTCACATATTTGCGTGGTAGAAAGCAGACTACTCAGCTAAGAGGATTTCTGACCTGGAATTATTGGGAATATAGGTTTTTGTTTTGTTTTCTTGTTGTTATTTTTTAGATTGGATCAGAAAATTCATACTGTGACTGGCTTACTGAAGCATTTGAGCCATTCATTAATAATCCGTATCACAGCCTAACTTGGGCTATCTGATAACACATGGTTCCTGGCTGAGGTGGGAAAGACTGGTCCACAGCTCAGCCTACAGAAAAGAATGAGCAAAATAGTTAGATTTTAATGTTCAATTGCTAACAGTCTGGCTGCAGATATGACTGGATATTTGAAATTGATATATTTAGGTGGAGTGTGGGGAGGAATCAAAATCTTGAAAGTACTCAGAGTAGCTTATGTTTGTTGTTATAGGATGCAAGGAGAAGAATGACATAGTCAAAACAATGAGCTAAGAAAACTAACTTTGCAGCTGACAGGCTAGAAGCAATGCAAGATGGTATTTGTCAAAGCCAGAGAAAAGAATATTGTGGGAAGTAAGTAATGAGATAGTGAGTGATGTGGGTATAAGTCTCAGCTGTGAAGAAGTGCTATGCAGACAGAATTGCAAGGTAGACAAGGAGAAGGAGGTCAAATCTAAGACCATTCCTGATTGTAAGTCTTTGTGGCATTTTCCACAGTTTTTACCACAAAGCTAGTGGTAATGAAGAGAAAGACAGGATTCTTCTTTAGACATGTTGTACTTAAGTTTAAAGTGTTAAGTCAAAGCACTAAGAGGGAATGTCATCTCAACAGACTGTTTAGTTAGGAGTAAATGAGAAACCTGTAGATGGGTAATAAATCTGTTGGTTGCTGACCTCAGGAGGGTAGGTGAATTTCTATTTACCAGTATGGCTTATTCACAGGCAAAAAGCATAGAGAGAATAAGACTGTGAAGACCCTGCTGAATGCTGGGTCATGGAGAAAATTAATAAGCGTTTTCAAACCTCTACTACAGGAGCAACTGCAGAGGGAGGAAGTTAACTGAGAGAAGATCAAGTGAGAATACTTCTGCTGCCGATGAGAAAACAATAATAGTATGTGTTAAATATCAATTTTGCCCTTCAACAAATAAAATGATTTGAGGCTGTCTTGAGAAAATTTTGAGAAGAGAAAAAAAGCTACAAATTAAGTTGTAGGGAAGAAAAATCTCAGATAGATATTGTAGAAAGCACTGGAAAACAGACAATTAGTGATTAAAATATTGTAATAAAAACTGAGTTTTTCCTAAGATGAGACTAAAACATAGAAGCAACAGCACTTTTTTTTTTTTTTTTTTTTTTTTTTTTTTAATCTATCTTGTCTGTTTTGCATGTATACTTTTAAGACAAAAGTTTCTTACACATTTGGGTCTTGTTGGAGATCCTAAATAGTGCTCCCATACACCTAATGGTTTAGCTGTTGATGATGTTTCATACTTTATACTCATACTTTATAACAAACTTTATATTCATACCTGCTGCCATTTGCACAGTAGCACCGCTGCTGCCACCACCACCACCCATAGCCCCTGAGGGAAAAAAAAAAAAAGATATTTCATTGTTTATTAAAAATTAATATTTCAGCCCTCAAGTTCTGTTATATCATTTCATCAGTGACATCTTCTAGATGTGACCTTGGTGATGTGTGATGGATGTATCATACCAATATCACATCATCAAAAGCATGGAACTTCAAAGGATACTGAAGTTGTAAAGCAATATTACCATGGATTTGGGTATCTGCAGTGATGGTCCTGTCACCTGTTCTGCACAGAAATAACTCTTTCCTATCTTTGCCACTCTACTGCCTTGTCACAGATAGGCCAGCTGTATTAGAAAGGCCTCAGGTCCATGAGGAGCAGGGCTGCAATCTGGCAATGCTCCCTGTCTCAGTGCACCTACATCTGCTCTCCAGAGAGCCAGAGGCATTGCAGAACAGAAGGGCAGCAGCTTTTGATGGGACAAGGAATCCTATGGGCATGGAAAAATTAGAGCCAATCCTCTTGCTCATGGCCTTCAATGGAGGGTCAAAGGAAGAATAACTACTCCTCCTTCCACAGAGAGTTAAGTTTGGCAGGAAAGCTGCCTGAAATCCTATTGATTGCTTGTTCAGAAAGTTCAATAACATCAGGAAAGTTGAAATACCATTTTCTCCTTTTTTTTCTATTGATATCATGAAATAAAGAATTAAATGCTTTTTGACCATCAGAAGGGTCCTACCTCACTGATTTTTTTATTTTTATTTTTATTTTTATTTTTATTTTTATTTTTATTTTTATTTTTATTTTTATTTTTATTTTTATTTTTATTTTTATTTTTATTTTTATTTTTATTTTATTTTTATTTTTTCTTCCTTCCCTATTTTGTGTAAACCTATTGGAAACAAGCTTCCCTTTCTTAATTACTTTTTGTGAAACCCTTAGAAGTAATCACTGCAGCTTCAAGGATTTACAGCTTGGAGGCTCAGAACCTCTAGCGTAGACAAAACAGTGGTGTTGTTCTTGCAGCTCCTGCCTACAGAGGAGGCAAATGTACCTTTGTGCTTTACCTTTGTGAATAACATGCAATGCCTGCCAGCTGTACGTTACTGGGGATGGCTACAGTATGGTCACCTGGACCACAGTATCAGGGGACTGAAGGAAAGTGGAAAGAGAACATGGTGCAATTCCAGTAAAGTCGCTAGGGAGAACTGTAACCTGGACAACTGTTGTAGCTGACAGTTCACAGAGGTGAGAGCAGGATTCCCTACTTATCCTCTTCACTAGAGTTTCTAAACACAATCTGGCATCCCATCTGACATCCAAATGTGCTGCTAGTGCATGAAGAAGAGCAACGATGTTCCTTGGTGGAGCTGAGTCCCTCCCACTCTAAGTAAAGAGCAAGTTCAGGACCTCCTGATGCAACTTAAAAACTACAAGTCTCTGGGTCCTAATGACATGCATCCCAGGGTCCTGAGGGAATTGGCTGATGTAGTCACCAGGTCACTCTCCATGATACACGTGTTTGAAAAATCATGGCAGTAAGGTGAAGTCCTTGGTGACTGGAAAAAAGAAAATATCTCTCCCATTTTTTAAAAGGGTAGAAAGGAAGATCTGGGGAACAACAGGCTGGTGAGTCTCACCTCTGTGCCCAAAAAGATCATGGAACAGATCCTTCTGGAGACAATGTTAAGGCACATGAAAGACAAGGAAGTGATCTGAGACAACAAGCATGGCTTCACCA